AAAAGTATAAATAGCTTACCAATATATACCAAAAAGGCAGAGCTGACTGTATTAAAAAAACAGCCCTCCTTGAGAAGAGAGCTGACTGTGTTAGAAAAACAGCCCTCCTTGAGAAGAGAGCTGATTGTGTTAGAAAAACAGCCCTTCTTGAGAAAAGAGCTAACTGTGTTAGAAAAACAGTCCTCCTTGAGAAGAAAGCTGAATGTGTAAGAAAGCAGTTCTTATTGAGAATAGAGATAAGAGTTAGTGATATACCAAAGAAACAGAATGTAATAAAAAATGTTTATTTATTATTTTCTTTATAGGAAAATTTGTATTTTTGATAAGTGTGAAACTATTAGTTTTCTTTTTTAAATTGAAAATAAAACCATATCTTCTTATTAGTTAAACAATATTATGTATCAAATTTTTTTGAGATTTTTAAAGAATATTTTATCTTATTTATAACAAACTTTATTAATTAAAATTTATTTTGAAGAGTTTGAAGTCTGAATCTTATCATTTATTCTACTATATTTCTTTTGTTTATTATATTTATTCAGTTGAGTATATAAAAAAGTTGTCTATTATATACTTGAATTTTTAAAGCAAAATTCTATTTTTTCAATTAATTTATTGTTTATTTTAGCAATATACTATTGATTTAATAGGTATTTTTTTTATTATTAGTTTATTTTTGATAATGTGATTATATTAGAATAATTTACTTAATTTTTACTATTTAACTATATTATAATCTTATATAATCTATCTTGTAATTATATTAAAAGTCTTATTTTATCAATAATTAGTAACTATATTAAAGATATCAATTAATTTATATTTATACTAATGAATAAATTTATTAATAACAAGAGTTATTTTCTAGAGGATTTGATTTAATAACTTTGTAATATTATATAATCTATAGAGTCTAATCACTATATAATGGATCCATAAGTCTTAATATTATTATATATATTATTGATTTATTATTATTAATTTTATAATTTTGAAATTTTAAATTTAAAAAAATAATTTAATAGACAATAACAATAAATTGATTGATATGTTTTTAAAAAATATATATATATTTTATAATTTTCATAATAAATAATATAAAATATATTTATTTTTTTTAATCAAATAAATTAAAATTATAATAAATTCAAAAGAATTTTATACATTTAAAACAATTATTATATATAAAACAATGTTTTTATTCAATATAAATAATAAGGTTCTTAAATAATAACCTTAACCAAATATTTATAACATAGATTATAATTAAAATCAAATTCAAAAGAAATAGCAACTAGGGTTTAAATTCGAATCAATTTATTATAATTTTAAAGTAACAATAAATTCTTCAAATTATAATTATAGTTTAAAATAATTATAATTTTACAAAACTTTAGGTTACTATAATAATATAGAAAAAAGATAAAAAAAACTGAGAATTGAATTTAAAAGTATTTTCCTAATTAAATTAGTACAATAACTTATTAAGTTGTCGATGCATTGTAATGTAATAGTTAAGATATCTACTAATAAAGTTAAAACTGACAATAAGGCAAGAAAATACGCTATTACAAATACCGTATATACTGTATATACTGTGGATATACAAAAAAAAAAAAAAATCTTAAAAAAGCACACAGTAATAACATTATGATTATCAAACCAGTTACTGTAATTGGTTAATATCACTGTTTAGTTATCAGCCTTTGATGCAAATATATTTAGAGACAGGTAACATATACGTACATAGTGCACCATATGATAATTTCTATGAATAAATTTGCGATTCAACATAAAAATAAAGATAAACAATAAATAAAATATTTATATTGAAATAAATAAGTAAAATGTATGCATTATAACATAAGAAACAGACAAAAATATAACTACCGAACCATTTAAAATTTGCAAGACTTTTGTGCATAATCCAACTAATTTACCACCTTTTCCACCCAAAGTTTAACGGTGGGATCCGGTCTTAACGTGAGACTCACTTTTTTTCTTACCTCAAACCCCTCAACCTCTCGAAATTTAAAATTTCTAATTAATACTGCCAACAAGACCTTCATCTCATTCAATGCTATCTTTGCACCAATACAACCTCTTGCTCCGGTAATAAATGGTATCCACGTGTAATTGGTGATTAGTTTTTCATCAATTGAATTCATATCGGAGAAAGAATCCATATTCATATCGGGTGCAATGACAAATGGCGAATCTGATAACCACCTAGATGGTTTAAAATCGTTGACATCTTCACCCCAGATAGATGGTAATTTGTGGATTGTGCTGGGTGAAATGATTACCAGCGTTCCCTAATTTTTACATTAGTGTTAGTTGGTTTTGTTGATAATAACTATAATAAATACAGTATAGCCTACCTTCGGAATTACGTAACCATTAATTATGTCATCTTTATCCGCAATTCGCATAACAAGAGGAACTAATAAAAAAGTGAGAATTGGAAAGACATCCATCATGATCACATTGACTCCGGCCTTTGTGCAAAATCATACCTGGAGGAACAAGCCTTAGGGTTTCCTTAACCACCGCGTTTAAATATTTTAAATTATTGATTTGATCGAATGTTGGCATGAAATCTTGATGTGGGAATTCTTGAACCAACTCATTACGTAAAAGTTCCTGAGATTCTTGATCTTTGGATAAATAATATAATGCCCACCCTGTCGCCACACTCGTGGTCTCGTGACCTGCTGCGAGAAAAGTCATGATCTATTTGTGACAATAAAACATATGTTCGATAAAAAAAAAGCATCATTTAAATAATAATTAGCAGAACATGCCTACCTGATTCTGAAGCTCATCAAAAGACATCTTTTCCTCCTCCTTCTCATTAATTTTTATCAACATTGACAGCAGGTCTTTACCTTGTAATTCGCCACGTTTAGATTCTTCTAACCGATCGCGAACCAGGTTCGCAGATACTTTGCGAATAATCCTTGATGCCTCTTTTAGTTGAAGGTTTCGTTGGGTTGGTAGACGTCTGAAAATTGGGAAAATGTGGGATAGTTGACGAATAACTAAATGGCCCCTATTTTGGGGGTGGAAAATTATGTCATAGGCAGTAGCCAGTTCATTGGCGGTCGTTAATGAATTGAATTGGTAGTTAAACCCTTTGTCAAACAAAAAATAAAAAAAATCAAAATTTTCATTCACTAATAAACACGAATATTTAAAATACCGCTAACCAACTATCCCAATGATATCCAGTGTAGCTTTGGATAAATAAGGAATGATATCAATTTTTCTTTCTTCGTCGTTTAACGCTTTCACCCAGATGTCTTTCAACATATGAGCTACTTTGGCAAAGGTGGGCACCATTTCCTATTATGCGTGATCTCATGCTTCAATATGTATGTTTAACCAACGAACTGAGAAAAAAAAATACACTTTTCTCACATACAATTACCTTAATGTTAGAATAAGAAAAAATTGGATTCATCATTTTACGTTGTCGTCGATGCACTTCGCCCTCAGCCATCAAAATTCCATTGCCCAGTGTTGATGATATGATTTCAAAATTGAGTTTATGATAATTGTACACATTGGATGACAACACATGTTGCATCGCTTTAGGATTGCTGATTAATACTCGAGGTTTGTTTAAGAAACCTCGATAACATAGCACTCCTCCATACTCAATTGTCCATTTTATTTGTGGTTGTCCGACCTATCGTATATGGAAAACGATTAGTTTTTGAAGATGGCAGATATCCGTTCGAGATACCCACTTCCTCTTTAAGTATTTTCAGAAAATTTCCAAGCAAAAAGTGGTCAGGTGGTGGTCCAGGAATCTTGCACAATGGTGATAAGTACAGTGGATGCAAAATCCATTTATAAGTGCAATACCCAATAATAAAAATCGTTATTAATGAAATTATCATTTTGAAAGTAAAGATTAATGCACGTCGTACAATAGATAATTCAAAATGGTCCCTATATACGTATCGGAATGTCGGGAGTCATGTACATTAAATTAAATAAATATATTAGTTAATGATCAATGTGTTAATTGAAAATAGTCCCGGTTTACTCGATAAAAGAAAATTTTGATACACGGGGGATTTCGAAAAATCCGAAACTTTTTTTAAACGTAAAAAGTTGATACATAA